ATTTATTTTATTTAAGGGTATTTAATTATTTTATTACTTTAAGTCTAGGTACATGTACAACGTGGTAGGTTTGTTTACACATCGTATATATAAAGTATGTTGGTGCTGCAATCTATTAACTCATCATTTCATATTAGGTATATTCCTAATGCTATCTCTCCGCTCTCTCCCCACAATAGGCCCCGTGTGTGATGTTCCCTTCCTGTGCTTCAGCAAATCAATGTGTGCCTTTCTTACACTGGCTGAAGATGCTGTAAGGTTTAGGTAGATCTCATATAATCACTGGTGAAGTATTGATTCTCAACCCCTTCCCAGACTGCAAAGCCCATCTTTGAAGGGTTCCAACTTTGGTCTACCCAGAGGTCTGCTTAATCCATTGGAGCGGCTAACCTTTGCAGGGGTGTGACATGAGGGCTAACCTAGCCTAATGCTTTATCACTCTTGGGGCCTGCCAAAAATCCACTACCATCATTCAAAATAATCTTGTAAATTTGGCACTGGCAGGTTTGAGAGGTTCACCTCAAACCTCATGTTGAGTCATAATCCCCAGTGTTGGCGGTGGGGCTTGGTGGGAGGTGACTGGATCATGGGGGCAGATGTCTCATGAATGGTTTAGTAGCATCCTCTGGTACTGCCCTGTGAGGAGAGTTCTCATGAGATCGGACCCATTGAAAATTGTGTGGCACCTCCTCACCCGCCTCTGATTTCCTGCTCTGGGCTATGGAGGTGGGCTGGTTCCACTTCACCTTCTGCCATGATTTAAAGTTTATGGCCTCCCGGCTGAGCAGATGCAAAGACCATTCTGCCTGTACAGTCAAACCATGAGCCAATTTAAATCTCTTTTTTATTACAATTATCCGAAGTCTTATTTCATTGTACCAATGAGAACGGACTAATATTTATACATTTTTTGTTATATTTAAAACGTGACACCTTGTAATCCAGTATTTTTGAGGCCGAGGCGGGCAGATTACCTGAGGTCAGAGTTCAAGACCAGCCTTGGCAAATATGGTGAAACCTTGTCTCTACTAAAATTCAAACAATTGACTGGGCATGGTGGTGTGGGCTGTAATCCCAGCTACTTGGGAGGCTGAGAGAGTCACTTGAACTCTAGGAAGGGACATTGCAGTGAGCTCTAGATTGTACTCCATTGCACACTTCAGCCTGGGCAACAAGATAGAACTTGTCTCAAAAAAAATTGGTGTTATAGTGTCATTTTTTAGTATTATGTAAATAGAGGAAATGTTTGCTGTCAAGGAGTGTAGTACTGCATATACTATATCGTTAGAAAAGGAACTCTCCACAAGGACTTGTTTATAGTGTGTGTTGGCTTTTTTCTAGATCTGAATATTTTTATTAAAAATAGTTGATAAGTCAATGTTAATTCCCCATCCACCTTCCTTAGCAGAAAAGACTTCCTGGGCATTAAGAATATATTTTGTAATGGCCAGGCGTGTGCCACGGCCTGGCCTGTAATCCCAGCACTTTGGAGGGCCGAGGCAGGCGGATCTACGAGGCTGTGCGATCAAGACCATCCTGGCTAACAGCGGTGAAACTCCGTCTCTAATAAAAATATAAAAATTTAGCTCAGTCAGTGGCTAGAGCCTGTAGTCCCAGCACTGGAGGCTGAGTAGAAAATGGCCTGAACCTGGGAGGTGGCAGATCTGCAGTAAGCCAAGATTGCACCACTACCAGCCTGATGAAAGAGCAGACTCCGTCTTCAAAACAAAAACAACAAAAAAAAGAATATTTTGGGACAATGAAGTATTTTATTCTAAGATGCTGTGCTCAAATGAATTCATCTGCAATAGAGAAAGAATGTTTCCTTTCAACTTTAGCAGTAAATTATGCATTGTATTTCTAAGATTGAAACAAGTTGATATAATTGTGTAATGAAATAATTTTAGAGTCTTTTTCTTTTTTTTATATGTTTTTAATTGACATTTTAACAAAAGGATTTATATTGGTCTTAGTAATATCCAACTGGTATATATACATATTTAGTTAGTATTTATTTATTTAGAGACAGAGTCTCGCTCTGTCACCCAGGCTGCAGTGCAGTGGCCTGATCTTGCCTCACTAAACTCCGTCTCTCCAGGCCTGAAGTGATTCTCTTGCCTCAGTCTCCTGAGTAGCTGGGACTACAGGTGTGCGCCACCACGCCTGGCTAAGTTTCTTTGTATTTTTATAGATGAGGTTTCACCATGCTAGTCAGGCTGGAAGTCTTGAACTCCTGACCTGTGATCTGCCCACCTCGGCCTCCTGCAAAGTGCTGGGATTACAGGCATGAGCCACCGTAAGCCTGGCCTTGCATATTTTTACCCAAGAGCTGATTATTTGCTATGGTGGTAAGGAAAACAACTTTAAAGTTCCTTTGCAAAGTTGTCTTCAGCACATGGAGAGGTGGGAGGCAGCCCATACTTATCGTAGGAGATGGGCCAGATGTCTGGCACTGAAATGGAACATCTGTCAGCATTTGATTGTGTCATAGACAATGCCCTTGCCACACCTGTATGTTAATGCTCAAAGAAAAACTGTGACGGTTTAAATGGAATGGTGGTATGCCAACAAAACAAAATTTAAGGATTCTGGAGATCATATTGAATGTAGTATTTATTTTTTTGAAATGTGTAAAGGAATTAACAATTATAGTAATATAAAAATTATCCTGTGGGTTGGGAAGTGGAGGGAGTCATAAATCTACAATCCTGCACCCCTTGTAAGCTGAGGGGTGGATCACGAGGTCAGGAGATCGAGATCATCCTGGCTAACACAGTGAAACCCCGTCTCTACTAAAAAAATACAAAAAAATTAGCCGGGCATGGTGGTGGGCGCCTGTAGTCCCAGCTACTTCAGAGGCTGAGAAGAATGGCGTGAACCTGAGGCGGAGCTTGCAGTGAGCTGAGATCACACCACTGCACTCCAGCCTGGGTGGACAGAGCAAGACATTCGTCTCAAAAAGAAAAAGAAAATTATCCTGTGAATGCACCTATAATATGACATATAACTCTGACAAAACCAGTGGTGATAAATAAGAATTGTCTTCAAGTCTTCAGGTTTTTTTTTTTGTTTTCTTTTTTTTGTTTTTTTTTAATATTCCTTCCTCACCAGTATTCTGTCTGTGAGACACTTTCTGGATCTTCCATAAGCCTGTGGTCTATGGTGGCATTTCAGAGAGGATTATTCTTCAGAACTCTGTGTCTCAAGAAATGGTATGTTAATAGTTATTTCATGAAAAGGTGAAGGTGTATTCATGCAGACGACATGGTTTGACTCTAACAATTTTTGTAATTTGCAGGGTTTATGGGGCTGCATAAAGCCTGCATTTTAGACTAATGTTATTTTCAATTTATGGATTATTTAATAGACATAAACCAATTAATCACTCAAGAGCACTTCTTGTCTTCTGCAAGATATATATGTATAAGGTGTGTATATGTGTATATATATGTATATGTGTGTGTATGTATATGTATGTGTATATATATGTGTATGTGTGTGTATATATATGTATGTGTGTGTGTATATATGTATATGTGTGTATGTGTATATATATGTATATGTGTGTGTATATATATGTATATGTGTGTGTATATATATGTGTATGGTGTGTGTATATATATGTATATGTGTGTAATAGTAGCAGATAAGGGGGCAGAGTATATATGTATATGTGTGTGTGTATATATATGTATATGTGTGTGTGTGTATATATATCTATCTCGTAAAAAGACTTATTATAGGGAATTGGCTTGTGTGATTATGGAGGCTAATGAGTCCCCAGTTTGTGATATGAGCTGTCAGGGGTCTTGGGACCCAGGAGAGCCAATGGTGCAGATGAAGTTTAGAGGCAGTTTATTGAAGAATTCCCTCTTGCTTTGGGAGGCCAGTCTTTTTGTTCAGTTCAGGCTGCTTGAATGAGACCCACCACATTATGGAGAGCAAGCACTTTACTCAAAGTTCACGGACTTAAATGTTAATCTCATCCAAAAACACTCTTCAAGTTGGCACATAAAATTAACCATCGCACTGGCAAAAAACAAGGGGTGGTGGGAGTGGGAGGGAGAGGAATACGGCATGTTATGCACGTGACAGTCTCCTCATGGAGGGGAATCACAATACACATGAACACAAAGGCCCTGAGAAGTCCTGCAGTGAAGATGTCTTTTTATATTTGTATAACCCCATCTTTCCCAGATTTATTTGCTCATGGAAACTCCCCCTACCCCCAATGTTTTTTCTGTGAAAATGTATTACCATTGTGCTAGATTACTAGTGTTCAGAGGAACACAGGTAAAAAAACTGGTCTATAAGACACTATCTGTTCAGGCAACTGGATCACTTGGAGATAAAATTGATAATATGAGCTTCATTAACTGAACCTAGTAGCCTAGATGGGTATTTATCCATTTAATGTATTGGCTATATACTCAAGTGTATATAGAGCATCTCCTGCATGAGATTCCACACACCGTGGGTAACGTATGAAACACTAGTGCACTTATGAGTATCATCACCATGAACACAAAATAAGCATCTGAGAAAGATGCCAAAATAAAGGAAACTATAAGTAAAGAAAAACAACATCGCCACTTGCATATTCATAGGCTTATGATGTATATATTTTTTAACTTAAGGACATAACAAAGCATCATTAATCCTATCATCCTGGAAAACTTGAGTATCTCAATGCAGAAAGGCATGAAAATATCGTATTATTTGACAAAAATTTTCTGAAACCTACATCCAAGTATGTAACAATCCTAGGTAATCACTGAAACTCTCAAGCTGTATAACTTTATATGAAAACAAATGGTAAATTTGTACAGTTAATTCTTAGATGATTATCACATTGAGATAGTAATCATTTCACCATGAATGTTACTAGGTTGGTGCAAAATTGTGTTTTTTGCCATTTGAAAGTAATGGCAAAAATCGCAATTACTTTTGCATCAACCTAATAACTCCTTTTTGTCCCTTTCTCCTCTATCCATCCCCAGTCATTAACTCTGGCACGTAGCAGCAGAAGAGAGCATTGGAAAGAGTCCAGTGGAGCAGAGAAAGGTGGGGAGTGGACGATCAAGGACAGCCAGGTCTTGATTTGGAAAAGATGCCCATGGAAAGGACACTCACTGAAAAGGTGACCTGTATACTAAATAATGAAACATAGATTTTACCCGCCATGAACACGTGTAGAAGCCCTGAAGGCTTTTCAGCCAGGAGTGATGAGAATAGACCGGCATTACAATCATTCTGATACTGAAACATAGGTTAGTGAGTGGGGGTTATGGGAATTTGGGAGAGAGTAAGTCTTAGTATGCTTTTTGGGGTACCTATCCTACCTATCTTATATATTTAATAAGAGCATGGCTTCTCGAGGGCAGGTACATGTGTTTATTTATGGCCGATAAAAGAAAAACTTCAGCTGAATTAAATTTAAAGGAGTTGGGCTGGGCACAGTGGCTCATACCTGTAATCCCAGCACTTTGGGAGGTTGAAGCAGGAGGATCACTGAGCTCACAGGTTCAAGACCAGCCTGGGCAACATGGTGAAAACCTGTCTCTCCAAAAAGTACAAAAATTAGCCAAGAGTGGTGGCATGTGCCTATAGTCCCAGCTACTAGAGAAGCTGGAGCAGGAGAATCACTTGAGCCTGGGAAGTGTAGGTTGCAGTGAGCCAAGATCACGCCACTGCACTTCAGCATGGGCAACAGAGCAAGACCCTGTCTCAAAATTAAATAAACAAACAAACAAACAAATAAATAAATAAGTAAATTTAAAGGAGTTTAACTGAGCAATGAACAATTCGTGAATCGGGTAGCCTCCTAAGCCAGAGTAGGCTCAGAGACTCCAGCAAAGCCACGTGATAGAAGGTTTATGGACAGAAAAAGGAAAGTGATGTACACAAAATGGAACTGAGGTACAAAACAGCCAGATTGGTTACAGGTCGGCATGTGCTTTATTTAAATGTGGTTCAAACAGTTGGCTACATTTGATTGGCCAAAACTTGGTGAATTGGCACAGGTGTGGGTTACGATCTGTTTACACTTCCATTGGCTATAGTACACAATGTCCCGAACTTAAAATATTTCTGGTTGAGCTTAAAATATGTAAGGAGGAAGCTTTAGGCTAAACTTGATTAAACACAGTGCAGTCTGTTCTGCTGTAATGTGAGCTTTTAGGGCAAAATTTTGCTCAAGTGCAATTTGTAAATAAGGGAATAATGTCGGTACTGAACCCAGTGTTGTGTCCTTCCAAATGTTCTCCGGACCTGCAGCCCCCTCTTCCTGGCCAGGCAGGCTTTCAGACAGCTCATGCAGCTACCTGGTCTCCCAGCAGAGCTGGTTGTCTCATCCTCTCATCCTGCCCTGGGTGTGAGGCCATGGTCAGGCTCTAGAGGCTATGAGAGCGATGACATTCTGTCCAACTGGACCGTCGGGGCTCCGGTTTCCCTGGCGGCTATCTGGGGTGGGATGCCACCTGGATGTTAGCAGAATTCTTGCACTGTGAGGTAAACCTTAGCAATATGGGACGGGAGGCAAGAAGAAACTGGCAGGTCAATTGTCCACCTTCCTTCTGCCATATTTCCTGAAATGTAGTAATTCCCTGTGACCTTTCTGGAGATGGCCCACATGACCCAGGGAGCCAGGGCTGTTTTCATAAAACTGCGGCCGTCTTGGTAACACAAGTTTAAATTCCTTCCCTCTTCCCCTCATTCATTCCCCTTCCCCCATCACTCCTCCAAACACCCACCCCCAAAAACCTGAAAGTTTTGCCTCAGGCAGGGCTGTTTTCCAGGGAAGGAGGTGAAGACGATGTCAGTGTAAGACCGCGGAAGTCATTTCGGTTCACAAGTGATTTTTCTTACACAAGGGAAGCCAGAATAGATCATGGGAGTGGAATTATAACCTTCATCAGGAAGCGGGTAAGCCTCCAACTCAGTGGCTGCCCAAGCAGTAAAGGCCTTTTGGCTGAATTTTGAGAAAATTAAAATGAGGGCCTGTTTCTGGAGCCCCACCTTGAGAGACACAGCTCTCGGCTAGGTTAGATGGGGCTGCCTCTGGGCCCAGATTTGCAACAGTCCCGCTGGCCAGGAGCGACCCCTACATTTGCGTTCCTCAGCACTCCCAGCTCTGCTCTAACTCAAGTGTGGCTAACATGTTTACTGTGTTGTTTCTGTGCTTTTTTTGGAGACGGAATCTTGCTTTGTCGCCCAGGCTGGAGTGCAGTGGCACGATCTTGGCTCACTGACCTCAGCCTGCCGGGTTCAAGCAATTCTCAGTCTCAGCCTCCTGAATAGCTGGGATTACAGATGCCTGCCACCATGCCCAGCTAATTTTTGTAATTTTTAGTGAAGATAGGGTTTCACCATGTTGGCTAGGCTGTTCATGAACTCCTGGCCTCAAGGGATCAGCCTGTCTCAGCCTCCTAAAGTTCTGGGATTACAGGCCTAAGTCACCGCACCCAGTCAATGTTTCTGTGCGTTTTTAAGGGCCCAGTGGCAGCCTCCAGCCAGGCTGAGCTGCCCGCATGGTGGGTTCCAGTTGTCTCCCCAGGAACCAATTACCGTTTTTGTGAGTACTCTGGTTACAAAGTTGCATAGGTTTGGAGTGGTCTGCCTAATCCTATTTTTCTCGGAAAGGCTGTAATAAGTGTGTGATTTTTGAGAATGTTGAGGTATATTCAGGTATGCCTATGTTGCAATCTAGCAGAAATGTTGGTTTCTCAAGCAGATGAAAAAAGACCTGTGGAATGAATAAAATGCTTTAAAAATTATTCCTAGGGATATGGAAAGTGACATGCACATGATAGTATGAATATTTTTTAAAACTTTTTGTTTAGAGAGGATTTTAAGCCCTTACATTGTAGCTATTTTTAAAAAAGCAAACATTTCCCCATTGCAGCGGTGTACCACTGGATAATGAGATAAGAATACTGTGATGAATATCTTTCCGTAGCCCCTCTGAATCCACTCTTCTCTCTTTTTCTGTGTGTTCCGTGCCCTGGAAGGCTGGAACTGGAAGGCTGACTACATCAGGGACGACTCTCTTGCTGTAGGGCTTCTTGTTGAGTCCAGCCAATGCCAGACAAATGAGGGAATCCAAAGGTGGGAGAAGAGCGAGATGGGCCCACTCCTTTGTTTGTTTATTTGTTTTTTTGAGACGGAATTTTGCTCTTGTTGCCCAGGCTGGAGTGCAATGGCGCAGTCTTGGCTCATCACAACCTCCATCTCCCGGGTTCAAGCGATTCTCCTGCCTCAGCGTCCTAAGTAGCTGGGATTACAGGCATGCGCCCCTACGCCTGGCTAATTCTGTTTTTTTTTTTAGTAGAGACGGGGTTTCTCCATGTTGGTCAGGCTGGTCTCGAACTCCTGACCTCAGGTGATCCGCCTGCCTTGGCCTCTCAAAGTGCTGGGATTACAGGCGTGAGCCACCATGCCCGGCCTGCCCACTCCTTTGTTAAGACTCCTGGTCTGTCTGTGCCACCTATTTCCTGCTGGTGAGGCAGGAGAATAGGGTCTGGAGGCAGGGATCCTGAGGCCGATACACGCTGTCTTCCTAGAACTAAATCAAAAGGAAGCCTCCAACTTTCCACACCTAAGTAACAAAAAAACACGTGGCTACTCACCGCCCCCCCGACCCCCAGCCACATTTTCTGGGTGGCAGACGGAAAATTGAAAGTATCTCTGGTTGGCTGCTTTCTGCAACCAATCAATCAGACTGATAGCCGCCCAAGTTTTCTTTGTCTAGAAGCCTAACTTTGTAACTTTACTTGCGCCTCTGACTGGTTGCTTTCCACAACCAATCAGATGCTTGCATAGGGTGTAACCTTTGTAACTTCACTTCAGCCTCTGATTGGTTACCTTCTGCAACCAGTCAGATGATTGCCGGCCATTACTTTATCTACATAGGGTGTACATCAAGTAAGGAATGGGAAACTTCGAGGGTATTTAAACCCCAGAAAATTCTGTAAAGGGTCGCTTGAGCCCTTATGCTCGGGCCGCCCCCATACTGAGGAGTGTACTTTTATTTTCAATACATCTCTGCTTTTGTTGCTTCATGCTTTCCTTGCTTTGTGCGTTTTGTCCAATTCTTTGTTCAAGATGCAGGTAACCTGGACACCCACTGGTGACGCTGGGACTCTGACTAGGAAACACCTTTCTTTGAAGGTTTGTGTATTTTCTAACCTTCAGCAGATGAATGAGTGAGGCAACTTCAGTAACCCTTGTCATATTCATTCTCTGTACAGGAAGCATGTAGTTAGAAATTAATAACTGGGGAAATGGGAGATATTTCATTCTGCCTTCAAAGAACAGTAGAGTATCTCTTCCTTGGCAAATGTGTAACCATAAAACATTATAAAATGCATTTGAAAAAGTGCCACTTAAAACATAAGTTAATCTGTTTTTCGATGATTCAGAATATACGTTAGTAGCCCGCAGTGTCTCAGGAGTCATGGTTATGACTAATTGTACTAAATTGTGTGGAAAGTCTGGTTCATGGGATATAGAGAACAGAATTTTCTATATTTTGCGTGTGCTAATCCTGCATGTCTACTGTAAAAATCCCTTATGAACACCGTTAAATTATAATAAAACAGGGACCCAGCAAAATGACCCCATCAAAAGTTCTGTACTTTTAAAATAAAATCAGAAGTATTATCAAATGTCTCCTACATTCCAGACACTATTATGGTTTGCTTACCATATTTCCTTTCATCTTCAGGACAACCCAACAAAGTGGATTTTATCATCTCTCTTTTGTAGATGAAGGAACGGGCTCAGAGAAGTCACGGGTCCAAGGTCACACACCCAGTAAGGGGCAAAGCCTGGATTAGAGGCTGGGCCTGTTTGGTTCCAAAGTTCATTCCCTTTCATGAGACCAACCGCCATTTCGAAGATCATCAAAAGGGAATTCTAGAACTCAGAACTTTTTGGCTTTTCTGAGCTTTCACGGTTTTGAGTGATCCTGAATAGGTGCATCCCAGCAGACTGTGGAAGCGAGTCCTTCTCTTTCCGTTCTTCTAGAGAAGCCAATTCTTATGATTTAGGCATCGCTGTGTCATTACCCACTGCAATGGCATAACCTACCGAGATTAGCTGGCAAGACAATCTTTCACGGTGATGGCCGGCAGGCACCACACTGTGAGATCCTGGGACTGAACTTTTCACCCGAAGAAATGCAGGAAGCTATCCTGTCGGGCAGTCACTTACAGTGCTGTGCCTTGGATCATGGAGTTTTAGAGCCGGAGGGGAATGCCTATAATGAAAGCAATAACTTTTATTTACTCGCAAAGACCTGTCTCAAAATAGTAGGCTACGCTTGGCAGGCAAAAAGGCAATCTTGATTTTTCATGTCCCATAAACAAGGCAACAAGCTCTTGTGTGAGA